TTTTTCCACCAAAAAACCCGTCAAAAGCCAAAAAAAAAAAAAAAAAAAAAAATTGCTGATTTTAGCAGTAAAAATGGTGGTCAGTTCTTCCTCCCTGATAGCAGCAAACTCCACTGATGCCCTACAAAACTAGGATTCTCAGAATGCCTTGTGGTCCATGACATGCACTGCCTGTGCTGGTGGGTTCGTACAGGCAGAGTGAGGAACGGGAAGGTGAGATGCCCCCTCCTCATCTTTCTGGTGCTCCCCCCCATTAGGCAGTGCCTGCCTTTCACACCCCAAATAACACCACTGGCTGTACTTCCCTGGACCCTAGAAGTGCAGAGAGATGCACTGAAGTTCCATCTCAAAACAGGCTCAGAGGTTTGCTTGTGTGGAACATAATTCATGACCGAGGCCTGACACCTATGGATAGATCCCCTTTATGGAACAACGTGATCAGTTATTTATGTTAGTTGGTCAGGGTTTTTTCCTTATTTGTTGCTGTTTTTTAATGGACTTGCCTAGAAAGGGTGTTTTTAGTAAAGCAAAATAGAAAACTTGGGATTAGGGTCAAAATGAGACTGTGACAGTGTTGCTCACTTAACTTCATATATCTTTTAACACAAGTCCATTCAAATTACTCTGTTCCAACAGACTGCTTTGCTGAGTTTGTCTGTAAAGGAAATATGATCCTGTTTGTCACAAAATCTGTCACCGTGCATGAATGGAACTGCTAAATTGATTTACAGTGTTTTAGTACAACTGCTCCCGGACATCTGGGGCTAGAGTTACAAAACAATTAGTGTGAAAACAGCAATGGTATTTTATTTATGAAAGATTTGCTCATGTTCTGTAATTAGTCTGATCCACCCACTGTCATTTGTTAAGTATGTTTTGCCAAAAATGTTCTCAGAATGATGTTTTTTAGTCATTGCTTCTTGTAATGAACTTTGCCTGTAAATGTTTTGTGATTAGGGTAGTATTATTTTATATAGATATTTTTAGTCAGATGATTTAATGCCATGAGTGAAATATGGTTCCTGCTAGGTTCTTATTACTTAGTTTTAGTTCAGTCCATACTTGGACAAATCAGTAACAGTCCATCATACTTACTGACACTGGAGTTTCTTGTCTGAATGAAGACTGAGAGATCAGTAGTAACATGACAAAAAACCTCTTGTATGGAAAAGGGCATATCTATATTTCTCCCTTACCAGACCAACCAGGAAATGAATTGTGATCTGTTGCCCATGAGATTTGTTGTAAACATTCCCTAGCTATACGATTAACTGAAAGATTGAAGGTCAGATCCTATTCCAACTTTTAGGGTGAAATTACATGTTACACTTAGACCATACTAAATCTGTGCAATTTTAAGCAATGTTCAAGTTAAAATATCCTGTGAGCAAGCACACATTAAGGGTTTAAATTGTTTCTTGTCTGCACAGCTCTGACTTATCCCTAGAGGGCTGGTGAACAGGGGCATGGCTAGGGCACCTAGGCTCTATCCCTGTTCTAGGTGGAAGCGGTGGCAGTGGGAGCATTGCATTCTAGGATGCTTGTCCATTTTATCTCCATGGAGTAGACTGAAGTTACCCTAATGAGAGCTGGGTAACACAGCCGAGAGTTAATCCTTACCTGAAGTGGCATAAATGAGACACTGAGAGGGCACTTGGCATGAGTTAACAAGCTTTAATGTGCGGATGCGTACTTTTTAATGGATCTTTTTCTGGTCTAAGTGTAATGTGGAACTTCACACACAGGTGCCTAGGTATGATCCTACTGTACCCTGCTCATGTCCCTGAAAAACTGTTGACACAAAGGTAGATAGGTCTTCCTCCTGCTTCCTGCTTTTTGGGATCTAGCTTAGAGAATAAATTGATAGTATGTTACAAAAGTAAGCACATTAACATTTTTTTCAGGGATTTGAGCGGGTTGAAATAGGATTGTGCATAGGTATTGAAATCCCTGTGAGTGCTTAGCAGGTAGAATAGGATCTGGCCCAGAATGTTTAATGTTCCTTGAAATTGTACCTCCATGAGATTACTCATCATACAAGTTTTTACATGCAATAGTGGTGATAGTGATTGCTATATATGTGGATATCACCTAACAAATTTGTTACGAGCTTCACAATTAGATGTTAAACATCTGCTCTGGGTAGCTTAAATTGTTGGATTCTACTGCACAAGTCCTTATTCTCACTTAGAATCTAATTAAAGGCAAAAGGTTTCTTTGCAGGAGTAAAGATTTGCATTTTAAGATCCTTTTGTAATACCAGAAACATACACAGAACAAGAAACTAAGGTAATCAGAGGTAATCAGTGTTCATTTCTCTTGGCATTTGTTAATTCAGCTTTGTCCTTTTTTTACTTGACAACAAAAGAAAATATTCTTTTAAGCCTGTTATCCAGTATCATTTTAAAGTTAGGTAGGATTTTGGGAATGGCAGTTCCTTCAATCTAAAAAAGTTTTCTGTAATATGCATTTAATATGTTGATTGTTTTTTCTGATTTCTTTGATTAGCATGGTATGATGAAACAAATGCCTGAGTCTTGGACTGGTGTATTTATAAGCTCTTTAACTTTTAAAGTCTTAGAAAAACCTCTTGGCATGTCTTCAGTCTTTCTTGTGCTATTGATTTCTGACAGACAGGAATGAAACTGCACCCAAGATGGAGAATGAGGAAGCTCACTTTATTGGGCAAACACGCAAGATTCAGGATTGTACAGGTAAATTTTTGATGGTTGCTATTGAGACCTCTTTAGTTAAACTATTGAACTACTGTGTTTGTCATTATTGCATTTCTCATTATTGTGGACAGCCTATGCATATAATACGATAAAGTACATCTCAGTGCTTTGTTAACAAATAGCTATTACTTCTCCATACACAAAGTGCAGAGATAAACTCTAGTTCTTCCTATATGATATTTTTGCTTATCCATTTGTTCTCTGTATTTCCCACCTCTGGCATTATTTTCAGATAAATGACCTGATCCTGGTTGCTGCTGAGACCCTCAGCTCCCAAATAATATTTGCTTTAAGGTTGTAGTTGTTTGGATTTGGGCGTAAGTGAATGTGGCTGTTTTGTAGTAAATATTTATTTCTGTAAGATAATATGCTTTTGTGTATGAGCGTGTGTACTCCCTTTGTCTCGGATCTTAACTATGGTTATGTATATATTAAACTTCCTAAATGGAAACTGGAGGGCAATTCTTAGAACAGTGTGGGTGTGAATGTATGTGCAACAAACATGCTTTTCAAACACCCTAAAACATTAAGGAGATTATTGGATAGCAGTTTTAAGGGTATGCATTTTTGTCAATCAGGGAAAATAAAAGTTTTGATTTTACATGACCATTTCTTTTATCATACTACAAACAAATAAACCAGAAAAGCAAGTTCTACATTAAGCCTTAAACAGAGCTTTGATAAATTGCCAAAAATAACTACTGTTTTCAACTTCTCCTGTATCTAGTAGTTATTAGTAGGTAACTCCCTCTAGGCAACATCATAGACTGGGTTTTGAAAGCTGGAGGAGTACTGAAGTTATAATTCAAGTTAGGGATTTCATTCTATGCATAAGGGAGATGAGGAAAAGAATGAAGATGGCTCTCAGAGATTGTAACAGTCAGGGACCAAGACTGGCATTACTGGAACTCAGGGAGCAAAGGAGCAACTCAGTTAGAGACAAGAAGAGTCAAGCAAGAAATGAGAGCTGCAAAAGGCCTAGAAGATGATATAAACCTTGAACTTGAAGTGGTGGATCTAAGGAAGCCAGTGGAAAGATAAAGACAAGGAGTGATCTGACTAGAGCAATGAGGAAAGACAATGATCTTAGCAGCTGCTAAGGTCTTTTGCTCAGATCCTTTTAAATCTTGTACCTGCTCTGCAGATGCATAAGGAAATTTAAGCTGATGTAAATTACATGTCAAGGAGCTGTAAGAAGATGTAAGCAAAAGCAGTGCTATATATTTCCATGTACCGGTCCTTACAGACCTTTTGTGTGTCACGTACACTTGGACTCTCCATCATA